AGGCTTTAATACCTCCTGTTTACACCAAAAATACACAGTTGAAAGGTATTTCAAAGCCAGCTGTGGTAGAATCATAGTTTGGGGAATGAAATCGCCTCAAGAAGCCAGACCAGCTAACATCATAGCTAAGATTATATGTCTTTCACATAGTATTTTCTGAAAACTGTAAGAACGAACAAGAAGCAGGACTGGAAACTACAAGAATCTTCTGGTGGTATTTTCTATACTGCAAACATACCTCTACTTGTTTCATTAATGCTATATTTGACTAGTGAAAATGTCTTAAGTTTTTTTCTCTACACATTTGACATTTGCTTTCATTTGCCCATTCTTTGTCTGTTTAGATTGTTTTCTTACCAAATTACTATTGGAAGTAATATTTAGTTGACTTTATGCTATTCATGATGATGATCAACTCATAGGAAATTTAAAAACATCATGAAATCAATAATCTTTTAAATGAAACGTGGGACATGCATACACGTTGGTGTATGCAAATGTATAAATTCAATTTTCCTCTTTTTTTAGCTGTGGCTATTAAAATATTCCATCTTTCTCCATAGTTCTTCACTGTGAGAAAACTAAGAAAAAGAATCAAATCCTCAGCCACTTGACTGGGTCTTAAAGATTCATCAATTTTTTATCATGAGAGTATTAATTATTCTCCTAGATTAATTCCTACTTCAGTGGGACAATAGGATTATATTTAAAAAGCATGTATTAAAGCAAAAACGTACCTTCTTTTCAAACTTTTATGTGTAACACAAGCACACTTAACTCACTATGGGAAAACAAAAAGATCAAATGTATAAGGAAGTGTCAGGCTAGCCTAACCCAGAATATTGTTATCATCTCTTACAGAAAATTTTCTCAAATATATATTTTAGGCCAATTTTATATAGCTGCCAACAGCTCCATGGCCACACAGAACAGGTCAGAAATGGAATAGAAAATCTTTAATCTACCCCATTTCTAGGCAAAATCTTCCTGCAGTATCTGGAAGGCAAGGTTCACATGAGAGTAACACAATACTGTATCGTAAAGTTCCATCAGAATGTGCACAGCAAAGACAGAAGAGTCTAACATTTACCCCTTACTGAAACAGAGATGATTGCTAAAAATAAATACATATTTTGAGAATGGGGGTAAGAAAGTTAAAAAGGAAATTACTCTTTATGGGGGAAAATATTATTGGGGCAAATTATTTGCATGGCAAATCTAGAGGAGCTGGCCGGGACAAAGGGAGGGGAGAGATATGTTATTTTAAATATCTATTATAATAATATCTATTGTTTTAAGAACTAAATTGTTCATCTTGTTGATCAGCCCTACAGGAATATTTAATCCCCCGATAATCTAGGAATTCTCTATGACTTTTAAAACCCTTTCATTTACAGGAATGTACAGTCCTTAAGGCAGACAACTAAGGACTCCTTTATACAAGCTAACACTTTAAGGCATGTTATATCTAATATAAAGACAAGTTCTCCTACACTATGACTAAGTTAAGGTTGCAGTTTACGGCACCCAGTGCACTTAGTATGATGCCGACTGCAAAGAACTGAGTGAAGCTTCTGGTGCAGCCCCCCATCAGTACTGCCCTATATGCATTGATATAGTAGGACTCCTAGGTTCCTCTGGTGGATGAATCCCCATGCAGCTATACCACCTGCACACTGGGTAACCATACCACTGACTGCATGGCACCAGCACAGCAATACAACTAAATGATTACTTTATTAAAGCAATTTAGTCTGACACTAAGTCTAAGTCCTCATGTTACCTATTCAGGACTATTGTATTCAGATGAGCACTTTTTGTAGTGCTCTAAACTGTAGTGAAATACAGAATTTTTTTTTACTATTAAAGCCTATTTTTATTTTGATTTTTTTATTATTTTGATCATATTTTGATTATTCAAGTCTCCTGCATTTTGATTATTAAATTTGATTTATTAATTTGATTAATAAAGTACATTTTGATTACTTTTAGTTTTTTGATTATTAAAGCCCACTGGAAAGGTGTTCTAGCAAAAGCAAAGTCTTATGCTGAGGACTCACAGCAGACTTTTTTAGTAGGGCTGTTTGAAATATTGTTTCTACAATTCCCTGCCTCCGAAAATATAATAAACAGATCTTCATATGTATAATAGGTAGAAGAAAAGGATTTTTTTCCTAAATTCCTATCTTTGGAAATCCATAAAAATTTAACAGTAAATAGCAGTCTGAGTCTTAGTAATAATATCTGAGAACATCTCTGAGTCCAAGTCGCCTACTTTGTTAAACAAAATCAATCATAGGCGATAATGTCAAACCTGGCATTCCACAGCAAATTAACAGAAATCTGAAAGTAAGTTAGCATGGTTTCACTAAGAGGTACTTTCATACATCCATCTCTTCAGTTTAGTAATTCCCTGATAGACTCAAAACAGTGAAAAAAACTGCTGTTTTTGTATATCAAAACTGCTAGATAGAAAAAAGAGTGTATTTTTGAACTAGCTCTACAAGTCACACAGCTTTCCAATACATCCACAATTAACCTTCATAAGAAAAACAGAATATCTCACTCTCCTTGTCAGCAGTGAGAAGAATTTCCAAGGACTGCTCTTCTGAACACTGGTCATGCCAAATTCTAAATCCTAGCTTGTGGAAAAGAAAATGAGAAAAGTTCAGAAGAAGTATGAAGGGCCCTGAAAAACACCTTTCAGACCAAGCCTCTCCTGACAGTACACTGCAATGCCAGCCAGGTTATTAGTTTGTCTTTAAAGTCCATCTTTCAGTATTACTCGTATTTCTTTTTAAAAGCCTTACTAACATACAGTATCCGTTAGCCAGGTGATTGCACAAATTAATGAACAGCTAAGCATGATGTTTTACGGTAAAGTTGCTGTCAGTGCAACCATACGGAAATGTTTTCAACAGGACTGGCAGAATTAACTAGATTCTGAGGTCCTACCCCTTGATCCTATATGCTACATTACTTATTTCTTGGAGCCTCCCCTGGGCATATTAAACAACTATCACTCCATGATCTACAACTCCAAATGTGTAGGCATATATTAACAAGCATTTTTAAAGTCTGTGTTTTTCCCCTCATTTAAAGAAAAAACTCTTTTGCAGCAAACAGCTTTCTCCATCAGTGCCTCCTTATGGTAAACACATATAGCTGTCTCCTTTCTTAGTCTCCAACATTTTCTCATTCTTTCTCCCACCAAATATACACAAACTTGATTTTCTCTTAAGATGACAATCTGCATTATTAATCTTCTGAGAACAATTATGTTCAGCAGTTCATATTTGTGCACAGTGCTATTTTATGTGGCTTTAACCAACTATCTGATCTACAAAACACATAATGCAGAAAAAGGTGCAAATGTCATGTCATATCTGGCTATAAACCTAAATTGCCCCAAATACTAGATTATTTTGTTGAAATTTTTGATTTTAGATTATAGCTCCAGATACTATAATCATCATAAAACAGACGCGTGCTTCTAAACCCAGGTCCCCATCCTGCAAGACAGTTAAGCCCAAAAGCCCCAGTTCTAGCTGAAGAAAAACTGAAGAAAGTTGTTCTGGCTGAGTATACAGCCTATTGGCATCCAGCAAGAGGCTGCTATGCCATACCTATACGTTACAATAGAGATTGCATAGCGCTCAGCGATCAGGAGGGAGGAAGAGCATTGGTCACTCATTTTACCCAGGCTCATTCCGTTCTTCAACAACACAACTGGCAGCAAGTTCTACACTGCTCCTCTTCGAGCTGCAGCATAGAATTTCTTTTGCAGACAGAGCCTGAAGAGAAGGGAAGAAGGATCTTCCCTGACAAACTGGCTACTCAATTCATGGTATGTATTCTCTTCATATGAATAATTTCTTTTACTGAGTTTCTTACAGACCTCAACAATGCCTTTTAAGTTACTAAAAAAGCATTTTGAATAAAATAAGACTATAGCAGCTAATTACTTGAAGACTTCAGTCTACATATTTGAGGTTGAAATTAGCTCTCTTTCCAAAAGTTAATTTCAGTGGTCTTCCAGAGTTGACCTAAATTAAGTCAATTTGCACAAAAACCATGTGTGTGGTCACATGTAATATCTTTCAAGATTTTAGGCAGCCAAATAAAGAAGCTTCTTATGACACGTTTTCACAAGGCTCTTTCACTTTTAGCAAATTTTTCTTTTTTTTTTCTTTCATTTTGTTTGCATATTACAGAGCAGCTTTATTCAGAAACTTTCTGATTTTAGATTAATGCTTTTAATTATTACCCCCACTGCAAAAATTATCAAAATTTTTTGACTGAAACCATGTTTACCTGGAATACAGGGTGCAGTTTTGTGGATCCTCACTTCAAGAGGGATAGTTAGAAAGTTAGAAAGGATAGGGTCCTGCGAATGGCTCCTGCACCAAGGTGTCTAGGAGCCTGGAGCACTGATGTACAAGGAGAGGCTGACGGAGCTGGACCTGTTTAGTCTTCAGAAAAGGAGGCTAAGGGGCAATCCAAAAGCAACTTCCAACTATTTGAAGACGAGTTACAATGGTGATGGAATCAAACTTTTCTCAGTGGTGCCACACAATAAAACAAGGTGAAATTGCCTACATTTGCAGCTTAGGAGATTCATAGCGGATGATAGGAAATACTTTTTCATCAAGATGGTAGTGCAGCCCTGGAACAGAGTGACTGTGGGATCTCAGTCCCTCAAGCTTTTCAAGACTTGGCTAGATAAAGCAGTGGCTGAGCTGAACTGTAGTTGGTGATAGTCCTGCTTCACTTGGGAGCTGCACTAGATGATCTCCAGATGTCTGTTACAGTCGGCATTTTTACAATTCTGGTGCACAGAACAAATACAGTGTAATAGATAGTACCTATGCCGAAGAGCTTAATCTTAAACAATGCTGACAGTTACTAGAACAGTTTTTTT